AGAAAGCTGGTTACAGATCAAAAGCTGGGGGTAAAAATTGACAGAAAGCACAAAGCCCTAAGGTCAAACTAAGCAGAGTCATTTAAACTGCATTTGCTAACTGAAGGGATTTGCCGAGACAGCATGAACAGTGAAACGGCAGCTGATTTCGGAAGTCAGACACCCAGATTTAGTTCCAGTTCAGCCACTAAGTCATGTAGGATTTGTGCAAATCACTTAACCTCTGTGGCTTCTGGTTCCTAATCTATAAAATAAGAATAGGGATTTGGGTTATCTTTAAGGGTTTCCAAAGTAGAGTCCTGATGTGTCACTGCAATATAAAGCACTAGACCACAAGGTAGGTTTGAACCACAAGGTCGGTGGTTCAAACCCACCAGACACTCCTTGGAAACTCTATACAGGGTCTCTATGAGTCGGAACCAACTCAACGGCACTTAACAGCAACTTCAAAGTAGAAAGTAAATGTAGGCAAAGAAATGCATTTCCCATATACAGTGCTGTTAAGTTCTCATCAAGTTGATTCCAATTCCTGGAGACCCTATGTGTGTCAGAACAGAACTACGCCTCAGAGGGTTTTCAATGGTTGATTGTTCAGAAGCAGGCCTTCCTTCCACGGTGTCGGAGTGTAACCTTTTGGTTAGTAACCAATCACATGAACCATCCACACCATCTACAGACTTCTGCGAAAGGGGCTGATGGGACTGGAAGCTTCTGTGATGACTCAGCACAAATATATAGCATTAGCAGGACTTAAACTGCTAAAGTTCCTGTTGCTGCTGTTAAGTGTTGTCGAGTTGGTGCTAACTCATAACGACCCTGTATAGGGTTTCTGAGGAGCAATTGGTGGGTTTGAACTGCCGACCTTGTGGTTCACAGTCCAGTGCAAAACCTACAGCACCACACCAGGAGTCCATCTCTATGATCTGTGACAGCCACGGGCCTGCTGAGTCTGGCCAGGGCTCTGCTCTGACTTGGGGAGCTATTCCAGACAGATCTTTACCAATTCCCTTGTCAATTCCAACTGTCTCATTCTTCCACTATTACTCTACTTCTATCTGTTGTCTAATTTTGAATACAGAACATGGGTTCTCTTGTATATCACAAATATCTACAGTCCTTACAAAGTCCTGCAGTCAGTTTCTGTTGGTTAAATTTTGATTTATCTGTATGCTAATATGCCTCAATGGCACATGTGTAATATAAAGAGTAGAGGACTAGACAGAATCAACACACAATCTGCTTTGCTGCAGGGATCAGGGGTGGTCAGCAAGGTGCAGACTAATCTCTATGGGAGGAGGAAACTATTACCATGGTTGCTTTATATAGAGAGAAATTCTTGCTGCCTTTTCTAGGCAAAATAGTCACGTAAGTCAAGTTCTTGCTTTCAAGTAAGCTAATCTGCTGGGTAACAGAAACTGGCAAAGAAACAAGATTAATGTGACCTTGTTAATTTTGCCACTCCTGGGTTTTTTAGTAGTTCCAATTAGAAAAGTATGATGGTGGTTATATGCTGTGGAGTCAGTTCCTACTCATAGCGACCCAAAATACAGGGTTTCCGAGGCTGTAAATCTTTATGGGAGCAGAAAAAAACCTCATCTTTCTCCCGTGGAACAGCTGGTAGTTTCGAACTGCTGACCCGGAGGTTAGCAGCCTGATTTATAACCACTAGAAAAGTACTGTTGTTGTTGTTAAGTGCCGTCAAGTCGGTTCTGACCCATAACAACCCTGCAGAGGGTTTCCAAGGAGTGACTGGTGAGCTTGAACCACCAACCTTGCAGTTCAAACCGAATTTGCAGTCAAGTGCATTAACCCACAGCACCACACCAGTATATTGTTGTTGTTGTTGTTGTTAGGTGCCATCGAGTTGACACCGACTCATAGCAACCTTATGCACAGCAAAAAGAAACACTGCCCAATTCTGGGTACAGTTACTTCAAAATTTCACTCTGCTTGGAAAACTGTGCCTACATCTTGAAACATTTGGTAACAGTGATGGAGTCCACTCAGCAAGAAGCTTCTAAAGTTCTCATTTGACAAGACCTGCACGATGCCAGGTTATATCCCAAAAGAATCACTTAACCAAACATGTTCAGCCTTACAACTCAGGAACAACACAATGGTTTTCAAGTTTTTAAAGTTTTAAAAAAAGAGAATCTAATTAAGCCTGCTTCATCCAGAAAGCTCCCCCACACTTCTGGCACAGGTCAGCAAGATCTCTAGAACCATCAAAATGAGGCACTAGTCACTTGTCCCTGACACTAAAGCTTAGAAAAAGAAATCAGAATCATCCACAAAATAAAAGTGGGGCAGAAAAAGACAGTGTAGAATAAGGGGCTTCAAAACATTCGTGGAAAAATCCCGTTATCTTTTCATTCCATTTTCCATATAATTTTTGAAGCCCCTTGTACCTGTGCTGCAAAATTCAGCTGTGCATGAGGTTATATCACTCTCCAACTCTCTGGTTACATAAAACAATAAATCCTCAAGTTTTGCTTTTAAACAAACACAAGAGCACTTCTTCAAGGAGATTTCTGAGGCTCTCTAGAACCAGCTCACTGTTTTTGATCTAGATCAGTCTCTTCTGGTACATTGCTTCCTGCAAAGTTCCCCACTGAAAGCAACAGCCAACGTTAGAAGTCAATCAAGCAGCCAGTCTTTCTGTAGTCTTTGGAGGAGTGAGGTGGGGTGGGGTGGGGTGGGGTGGGAGGAACCTCTCTAACAGTCACTTTATCGATGTTACTGGTAAAAATGGGGGGTGGGGGGGACGGACACCTCTCCTTAAAATATGTAAGTCAACATACAAATTTTGTTAACACTTGAGCCCTTCACTGGACTAATGTGCACAAGGGCAAGAAGTTTCCAGGCTTTCACCTACATTTTTCCATCCCAGCTTAAGTCTTGCCTTTGCCATATGCTATAATGATTCATTTTCTTTCATATGCAACATCAAATACATATATAACCATGAAATATTAACGCTGACAATGTATTATATCAAAGCTTATTTACCTAAATTAAAGTTACCTTTTAAAGTAGCCCTTTGAGGAAACTGCATTTGTTCAAATGACATTACCTCTGTTTAAAACATTTTTAAGTTACCAACATAAATTATCAATTTTTTTTTAACGGCAGGTACTTCGCCTCAGGCCCAAAGCTTTCTCACTCTTAATCCTTTCCTCTTCACCCAAGTTTCATGTTCCCCTGTGCTCCCATATTATCAGAATCAATACTTCTTAGAGTCAAGACACTTGAGGGAACAAGATGTGAGGAGGGATAGGGCGTGCAGAAAGAGGAGCTGCCGGCCAGGCTTGCTTCCTCAGTGTGAACTGACAGGCCTTCCCTCCAGCTTCCCATAGAAATTTGCTCACAGTGTGTTGGGAGCATGATGTAAGATGCACACAAGAAGGCAGGACAGAAGGAGTTCTCTAAGAGACAGACAAGTCTTCACTCCTCACTAACCTGGGAGAGGCCACTACCCAGAACCCATGTGCATTGCTTCCTCACACCAGTTTATCATGGCCAGGAAGAGGAAACAAGAAGGTAAAGAATGGGCATAAGCAAATATAACATCTCCGGCAAAACTTAAGCCCACGCTCACATTGTCAGGCAGTACACAAACCAGGAAAGGGAAGAAGGCTCAGGACATCCAGATCTGCATATGGTGTCTAAGCTATCTAAACCTGCTCTTTACCGACCCCAAAAGTCTACAGTCAGTTATGAATACATGGTCTCTTATCAGCTGCGTTACTGACAAAGTTGAACAAATCCAGATGATAGCAGATGCTTCATCAAACATGATACACTCCAGCCCTTAAATTTCTGAAACATGAATAATAGCCTAAAAAGAGAGCACTAAAGATCCAGAGTCACAGAATTCTGTACTTCCAGAAAACAGTATTTTTAGGTTGTGACCAATAACTAATACTTATTCACAAAGTGCTGCCATACAATATTTGCAAAGAGCATTCACACATATTTTATTTGAGTCTCACAATCTCATAACTTAGGTTGTCATCTTCCCATTTTACCAATTAGGGGAAAAAGGTAAGGTGAAGTAGCCTGCCCCCTGAAAAACAGCAGGTATCTGAGCTGGAACTCAAGATACGCTTTCTCTCTCTAAACCTACTCTTGTTCTAAAGCAAATGATGTCTTGCAATAAATGGGAGGCTGTCTCTACCAGACCACCTGATATAGCAGCATAGGAAATTACTGCCTCAGAAAAACTGATACAGAGCCAAAGCAAGTCCACCTAACCAAACCTAGAAAATTTCCAAGTCCCCTGCCAAAGAATGTTGTTAGCTGCCCCGAGTCTTGGCAATCCCCCACACAACAGGATTCAACTGTTGTCCTCCAGAGGGTTTTCATTGGATGAGTTTTGAAAGTAGATCACCAGGCCTTTCTTCCTAGTCTGTCTTAGTCCAGAAGCTCCAGTGAAACCTGTTCAGTATCCAAAACCCACCATACAGCCTCCAGAGGGAGATGAAGATGGAAGGCTGCACTTGAAGTGAACTGACTAGGAAACAAATCCTGATCTCCCACATGAAAGAAAAAATAACTACCACTGTCCTTTTGCCAAGGAATGTTGTTGTTAAGTGCCACTGAGTCAGTTATGACTCATAGCGACCCTGTACAGGGTTTCCAAGGAGCAGCTGGTGGGGTTGACCGCTGAACTGGGGGTTAACAGTCCAGTTCTTATCATTTGTTGCTGTTAAGTGCTGTCGAGTCAGTTCAGACTAATAGTAACCCTATATAGGGTTTCCAAGGAGCGGCTGGTTGTTTGAACCGCTGAACTTAAAGTTACCAGTCTAGTGCTTATCCTACAGTGCCACGCCCTTGTACACCAGGATGTTGGATGAATGCTTACAAATAAACAAATAAAATTAACAATGAATCAGGCTTACAACTCCATCAGGTATACTTCTAAGAAGTTGTCACTCATTTTAATACGTATTTATTTTTAACCAACCAAATCTAAAACGTATCTAAAGAAAAGGCCATACCTGTTCACCTTTCTGTTGAAACTCTTTGCATGCCTCAGGGAACACATCATAAATGACGAGTGGATAGCCATGCTTCATGAGATTCTTTGCCATTGGATTCCCCATGTTGCCCAGTCCAATGAATCCAACTGGAGTCTTAGAAGCCATTGACCTAGAACACACTGATTTCAATATATTACTATCAATCAGTACAGATAATTTTTCAAATTGTAAATATTAAGTTAATTGGTATTTTAATGATTTCTACAATAGAAACTGTTACAGGCTAATTTAAAACCAATGACCTAACCACATTTAAACATATCAATGATGTGCAGACAGTTTAACTTCTAATTACATTATTTAGTTCTCTAGGCTACATTATAAAATTTTTAGGCAATCTCTCCTCTGTTTCCTACTTTTATAATATCCATTTGCCAATTGTAATAATGAACTTTATCATATATACCAGTAAAACACCTACTATGGTATTTTTTTTTTCCACATAAGGAGGCATTTATTTGAGGTTCAACATGAAACCATGCAAATAAAATTTATATAAACACAAATCCTCACTGAGTCAAAACAGACAACAAAGGACAAAGTAAAAACAAAGAAAACTAACTGATGGCTATATACAGTTGGACATAATTGTGTCTTGTACACTAAAAAGTCTTTTACAAAATTGTCATCAAGCTCACCAGTCGCTCCTTGGAAACGCTATACAGGGTCACTATGAGTCGGAACCAACTTGATGGCACTTAACAACAACAACAATAGGCACCACTGCAATTTTCACATCCTTGATCATAATAACACTTACTGAATCCCTGGTTCCAGTTTGGGTCCTGACCTAGCCCCAAGCTGCCGTACCTCTTCCTCCTTTCTGCTGCTGCTCTTGCTGCCTATATACCTCTTTGGACTGTGCAACTTTGACTTCACACTTCTCAGCACCAATTTGATGACATCGGCTTTGTAACAATTTCTTTACTGGCTCTTCATCTGTACATGTGATAAAACAAAATTGTCTTCTTTCATTAGTTTTGTACTCATGGGTAGTTCAATATTTTCAATCTCTCCCAATGCACCAAAATATTCTTTAATTTGTTCTTCAAAAATATCTGGATTCAATCTCCCCACACAAACCTTCTAAAGCTTTGGCCCTTCTGTTGTTAAGTGTCGACCATTCAATTCGGACCCATAGCGACCCTGTATAGGGTTTCCAAGGAACAAGTGGTGAGCTTGGATCACCGACCTCTGCAGTTCAAACGACTTTGCAGTCTTGACGCATTAGCCCACAGCACCACATCAGGTCTATTAATTTGCCACACAGTACATGTTTTTTCAGTTCCAAAACCTTATCAACACTAGCTGCATCTCTGAAAAGTGCAAATCCAAAATCTCGTGACGGTCCAATGACTGGATCTATTTTAATAGTGCAGTCTACAACCTCTCCCAATCGAGACAAATCTTTCTTGCATTTCAGCGTCATCCTGCTGATTCTAGCTGGCGTTTAACTTGACACCCTCTGTGGATTCCCGAGTTGCTGTACTCTTTCATGTCCACCACTGTGGCGGGGCGGTCGGCAGGGGGCGCTGATGCGCAGACCGTATTGCAGCGGTAGCTCCAGCGGAAGGAAACTTGTATGGAGCTAGATTTAAAATGGCGGCGGAAGAGCTATTATGGTTTTCTTGATTACTCTATCCGAGGGTAAGTTAAAAGGTACGGCTACAAAATCACAGAAACTATTGTTAAACAAAAATATCAAAATGTGAAGCTATAGTTTCTTAATGTATCCGCTATCTAGGTCTATACACTCTGAAGGTGGTGGTTCCATCTCTGGTGTGGACCCTACAGGATGAAGCACTGGACCAGAAGGTCAGCTTGAACCATTGGGTCAGCAGTTCAATCCCACTCCTCGGAAACCCTGACTCAACAGCACATACAACAACAACTCTTCCCTGAAAATTTCTGAGCTCTTCAATCTATACCACATCAAACTAACAGATTTAGCATTCTCAAGGGGCTAAAATTATGTTTCTTTTCAATGTTACTTGAGTTTGGGGAACAAAGAGAAGTCTGAAGGGACAAGAGCTCTAGGATAGGTGATGTATGGTTTCTCAATAAAATCCTCCTGGGACAAGCTGGGACACTGTTGGGATGGGAAAAATTTCTCAGCACATTTCTGGTCTTTTTCTCACCAATGTACTTTTCAATTTTCTTAAAATTGCTTCCTGATAAAGCCCTCAGGATCATTCTGTGTCCTCTGAAAATATCTACCAAGATTAAGCCTTTGGGATCCCCCCAAAATAGTCACCTTAACATTCTCAGCTGACCTTTCTGCCCTGAATTTAACTGTCCCATCAGATCCCTCGAAGCCACTGTTTGGATTAGACTTTTTGAAAACACCAATGTGACTAAGAAAATGTTTTATTGAAAAAAATTATGTGCAAGTTCTTGTTGGGAATAAACACATGCGTGTCTGAACTACAATCCTAGTAGGAATACTTTTGACTCATCCTTATATTACCTCCTTTAACAATGTGTGTAATTTGAAAGTATTCTGAGAATGCTGACACAGGATGAAAAATGCAACAAATGCCACTGAATAATATATATAGTGGTGGTGGTGTTAACTGCAGTAGAGTCGGTTCCAACTCATAGCAACCCTATATACGGTTTCCAAGGAGCAACTGATGGACTTGAACCACTGACCTTGTGGTTAGCAATCCAGTGCTTATCCTACAGTACGACACCAGGACTGGTAGTGTTGGTTATGTGCCGTGGAGTCGGTTCTGACCCACAGCTTCCCTGTATGGGTTTCCGAGGCTGTAAATCTTTCTCCCATGGAACTACTGGGAGTTTGAACTGCTGACTGTGAGATTAGCAGCCCGACTCGTAACCACTACGCTACCAGATCTCCTGGATAATAATATGTGTAAAGATTGTTATATGACAGCCAAATTTGCTATATAAATTTTCC